GCCCGCCCCACCTGTCCAGCTGCCCTGCCCACAGTGCTCCAAGTCCTTCTCCTCAGCTTCCCGGCTGTCCCGGCACCGACGTGCGGTGCACGGGCCCCCTGAGCGGCGACACCGCTGCGGGGTGTGCGGCAGGGGCTTCAAGAAGCTGGTCCACGTCCACAACCACCTGCGGACACACACAGGCGAGAGGCCCTTCCAGTGCCACTCTTGTGGCAAGACCTTTGCGTCTTTAGCCAACCTCAGCCGTCACCAGCTGACCCACACGGGCGTGCGGCCCTACCAGTGCTTGGACTGCGGCAAGCGCTTCACACAGAGCTCCAACCTGCAGCAGCACCGGAGGCTGCACCTGCGGCCCGTGGCCTTTGCCCGGGCGCCGCGCCTGCCCATCTCTGGCCTCTACAACAAGAGCCCCTACTGCTGTGGGATCTGTGGCCGCTGGTTCCGTGCCATGGCAGGCCTGCGGCTGCATCAGAGGGTCCATGCCCGAGCCCGGACTGGGACCACACAGCCACCACGCTCTCCACCCCCCGCCCCAGCCCCCCCCCCCGAGCCGCAGCAGACTATCATGTGCACCGAACTGGGGGAGACCATTGCCATCATTGAGACGTCCCAGCCGCTGGCCCTTGAGGACACGCTGCAGCTGTGCCAGGCCGCCCTGGGGGCCAGTGAGGCCAGCGGGCTGCTGCAGTTGGATGCTGCCTTCATGTGACACAGCTGAAGCGCAATAAAAGTTTGGTTGCCACAGCCATTGTGGGTCCCTCCTTGGGGAAAGGGGCCTACCCCGACAAGCCACTCTGGTGACCATTTATGTGTCAGGATCCACCCTGGCCTCTTACCCACCAGCTGCTCAGAACAGGCCTGCCTGGTTTCTCCTCACCTTTTTCTGCCTGAGGGGAAACTGAAGCTCTGAGATGCGATCTGATCTGTCCCAGGTCACCTGCTGCACTGCCCAGTGAGGTTTGCCAAGCCCTTTGCTCGGCAGCACCCGGGTGCCCAGCAATGTCAGGTAACCTTTTCTGAGCCCCGAGCACGTGCCAGGTTGGGGCTGGGCACAGTCGCATACTTCTGGTCCGCTGCTTGTCCTGCCAGCCCTCGCCATCCCTGGACACCAAGCATCTAGGACTTGGCTTTGCCTGGTGGGGGGAAAGGCACTGGACTTCTTTGGGGTGCCTTAAGCTTGTTTTTGAAAACGTGGAATTCTGTAGATAGCGAGGTGCGCAGCTGCAGGCTGGGTGAGCGGGAGACCCAGGAGTAAGTCAGACATGTGTTCTGCCCCCCGCAGGCATGCATTGTGATGGGAGGAACACAAGTGCATGAGTACAGATGCACTTTCTCTCTGAATGAGTCCTGAGGCCCACCCTCTTCTGTGCTGGGTGATGCCAGAGGCCAAGGATGAGTCGGGCCTCTGCCCTACCCCAGACAAACAGATCTCAGCCTCAGGCTCCTTCCATTGCAGTGGGGATATGCGGGAACAGTGGGAGGCCAGGCCAGGGGACCAGCCTCCAAGGTGGCAGGTCAGATGTTGGAGGCCTCCTAGACGTGGCCATTGAAAACATAGAAATCTGCTAGTGACAGTGGAAGAGAACATTCCAGCAGGCGGCAATGCAAAAAGGGCGAGTTCTCGGTATGTTGGAGACCATCCAGTTATTCACAGCCCCAGTACAGTGAACACTGGCCTGCCTAGCTGTGGCAGGCACTACAGTGAACGCTGTCTGTGGACTATGACCCCATGGGCCTGGGAGGTGATCCCAGTATATTCATTGTCGTGCAGATGAGAAAACAGGGCCAGACTTGCCCGAGGTCTTGCAGCTAGGCAGAGGGGGCACTGAGGTTTGAACCCAGTTGGTTCCTTCAGGCCACGTCTGGGACCAGTGCCACTGATTGATTGTGACCTGTAACCCATGCAGGGCTGGTGGCTCAGGGCATGATTAAGTGGAGGAAAAGTGAGCGGGTGTTAGAGCCGTTGGAGATTGATGGTGCCTCAAAAGATCAAAGTCCTTGGGAACAGGAAGGATTCCCCAACCTCTTTAAAGGTTATCTGGGATGACGATTCTTTCCTCCAAAACATAAGCTGGTGATTTATGGCAGGTCAGTGGGGCAGATGTTTCCCAGGCCTGTGCAGACCAAGGTGCAGAGGCAGGAGGCAGCTGTGTGGGCAGGAGGTTGGGTGATAAAAGTGGAGGAGGAAGGAGCCCTGGCCATGGGAAGGCCTCAGAAGGGAAGGGAGAAGGAAGGGCAGGTCATAGTGGAGGCTAGAGGGGATGAAGGGAAGGCTGGAGGGAAAGGACAGGGCCAGAGCTGGGCAGAGGCTATAGGGGTGGGAGAACAGTGAGGGGCACCCTCAGGGACCTAGCACACCGCCAGAATGAGCAGCTGGGAGGAAGGGGACCCCAGAGGCCACGACTGCCCATCACCTAGTCTGCTTGCTGTGTGCTCCTCGTAGGAATGAGGCTCCGTTGCCTGTTGCTGAGTAGCGGAGGCCGGGGAGGCAAGATGCCCCTGGGGCTGGCCTCACTGACTGCAGAGCCCAGTTGCCACAGAAGGCCCCTCCAGGGCACTGGTAGATTGCAGCAGAGAACACGTCACTCACGCATGGCCCCCTTCCATTTCTGGAGCCCTCTGCCCTCACCTACAGTTGGCACTGAGTAGAGAACTCTTTCCTTCCACCCATGAACCCCCCATCTGGCCCCAGCATGTTGTCGCAGTGAAGGACAAGCCATGCTCTTGCTTCCCAGCATCCCTGAGCTGGGCCGTGTACAGTAAGCTGCCACTTGACAGAGAAATGCGCTTTGGGAATCTGTGGGATTTGAGGACAGCTGCTGTGCATGGGTGGGAACCACGCCACTAAGAATCCAGGCTGCCTTGACCTGAGTCGCTGTCTCGTCCGTGGACCTGGGTCCTCTGGACCCTGAAGCAGCAGACGGCTCAGACCGTGAGATAGTCTCTGCTGGAGTCTGAGGCTGCCCAGTTCTGTCACCATCACCTGGGGTGACAGTGCCTCCCTCTGTAAATGGAATGAGATTTCTACTGGATTCATGGGATAAGCCCCTCCCGCACCTCCGCAGGCAGGAAGGCTGAGCCCCTGTGCCAGGGCCGGGCCCCGGAGAGGCAGCCTGTGCCCCATATCGCCCGTCCCTGCCTGAGTCGGCCCGCTGTTGTCCCAGAACAGCCCCAGCACCTCTCTTACCTCTAGAAACAGGCAGCCAGGCGGGGCAGGTTTTCATGCCAATAATTTATTGAACCGAGGTCTGTACACAGGCAAACCTTACTGTGGAAACTAAGACATCAGGAGCTCCCCCACCACCACCCCCAGCCCTCCAGGGTGGGGAGAGGAGGGAGAAACCAAAAGGGCAGAGGACAGGAAAGGGGTGACAGCTGTAGGAGGGGAGGGGGCCAGGTCGGACGGTGCGAATCGACGTTTTCTTTAAGAAAAAAATTATAACAATCTATTTACACCCGGGGGCCAAGGGAGGAAAGAAGATGGGCAGGGCTGGTTCTATTTACAAAGGAAGGCAGGGAAGGGTCTGGAGGAGGTGGAAGCCTGGGGGGAGGGGAGGGGACCAAGTGGGCGGGAGGTCCCTGCACCCCCACAACCCTCCCACCCCCTCCCCAACATCCGTCCTTCTCTTCCCTCCCCACAACCAGTTAAAATCCTCGTAAAAAGCTCACCGTCGGGTGAGGCTGGTGAGGGAGGGACTAGAGGTAGGGACAGGGACTCATTTACCTCTGCCCTCTAGGGCCTAGCCAGGGCAAGAGCTGGATGGGCTATGGCCCCCCTTCCCCACTTGGGGCTCCCAGATGGAAGGGTAGTTGGTGGGGCCCTCAAGAAGAGTTAGTGAGGGAAGCTGTGGTATCGGTGGACTGCCAGTCCGTGCTGGTCTGAGCCTCACTTAAAGCTGCTGGAGGAGAAGGAGCAGACAGTTAGATCAGCCCCCTTCAGAGCCCCCTCCACCACCACCACCAAGAGCAGAAGTCCGTGGGAAATGCCACATGAAGTTTAAAGCTGTCTCTCTAGTTCGGCAAGCCCACATGCCAAAGGACCAGGCTGGTGGCTGAGTGACATGCCAAGTGCCAGGCCCCACAGAAGAGGGGGCAGCTGGCACTCAGCTCAATGACAGGGCTGCCAAGTTTGATATTCTATGAGAAACTGGAAATTTGCATTTTCAACAAATGGCCCCAATTTTTAAATGTGGGCAACAAATTTAAATGTGTGCATTTACACAAGCCAAACACGTTTCTCTGGTTTTCCAGATCTAGGCAGTGATGTCCCACACAGGTGGCCATTCACATGGCATAAAATAGGCTCCCTACACCAGCAAAACAGCAGTGTCTCAAATACCTGCAAGAACCCAGGGCTGTGAGGACAGGCCCACCCCCAGGCTGCGAAATGCTTCTTTAACCCACAGTAAGTGGCCCCAACTTACCTTGTGAGGATGGGGTAAGGGGAGTACTGCCCGCTGGGGACCGCAAGTGAGGAGGGATGAGAATGGCATTGAGAGATGGTTGGATGGAGAGTTCTAGAGACAGGAATGGACACAGTCAGTGGACAGGGCCGGGTATCTGGAGCTTCAGCTGGGGTTAACAGGAGATACCAAATGGGGGCCCTGCTATCGGCAAAGCCAGTGTTTGGGGACTCTCTCAGGTGGTTATCTTCCAAATCCTCTCCTCCCGCCCGAAGGTGGGCACCATCAGCCCTACCAATAGGGAACGACAGAGGCCCTGGGAGCAGGTCACACCTTCATGGTGATGGTGCAGCAACTGCACTTTGAATGAAAAACCAGCAAGATGGCAGAGTGTAGACAAGGCTGGGCTCTCCCCAAACCTGGGGGCCCCCATCTTCCCTAGAGAAAGCCTCAGGCCTTCCTTAGAGGCCCACCCCCACCTCCCAGCCCGACTCCAACACACAGCCAACACAGTCGTGGCTGTCCCTCCAGCCTCGGACCCCAGGCTGTGCCCTCACCGCTGGGACTGAAGTTGAAGAGGGGCGGGATCGGGCGGTTGTTGGGAAGCTGGGTTCCGGGACAGCGCAGCTCATCAAAGAAGCTGTGGGCGCAGGCTTCGAGCGGGGACAGCCTGCAGGACGGCGTGTACTCCAGCAGGCTTGAGCAGAGGGCGATGGCCTCAGGCGGCGTTCGAGGCTTGAACACCTTGGGGGGTCACAAAAGTGAGACACCCCCGTGCTGGTGTACTCGCCTCACTGCCACAGTGACCATGGCCAAGGCTCTCCACAAACCCCCTTTCCAGGGGGTAAACTGAGGTATGCCCACTGAAAAGGTCAACATAGTTCTCGACCCTCCCTGGTCCCATGACTGAATGGACCTTGCTATGAGCCTGTTTTCCCCCCCACTGAAAGACTCCCAAATTTACTGTTGGTCCTAGATTGTTATTGTATGGGAACTCGATAACCTGAAATCTGATGAGTTACTGACCATGCCCCTTGGCCAGGTCCCCAGACCAGTCAGTCTCCAATGGGGACCCAAGCCACGCTGCCTGAGACCCCAGCCCTGCCCCACCTTTGACCAGGGGTGAGCTTTAATCTGAGGGAACTTGAACTCCGTGTAGTTGGGGTTCATCTCTCGGATCTGTTCCCGGGTTGGTGTTCCCAGCACCTGTAGGGAAGGGGCAGGAGGCAGGAGTCTGAGCCCAGCTCCCCACCCTTACCCCCGTCCCTGCCCACCCAACCTTCCCCTCACCTTGATGATCTCCACCAGCTGGTCCACCCCGCTGTCTCCGGGGAAAATGGGCTGGCCCAGGAGGAGCTCAGCCAGGACGCAGCCAGCTGACCACACATCTGGAAGGGAATGGAAGAGGGTCAGACATGCTCCCCTCACAGACATTTGTCAGTCACCCCAAGAGGAACCCCATTCTCTTAGCACACTAAAGGTCTCTGTGGCTTAAGAGCATGAAGCCTGACAAGTCCAACTACTGCCCCTTCCTTCTAAACTTGTTTCAGTCCTGACTCCCTCTCTACTCAGGGTCCCCAATAAGCACCTCCTTTGCCTTCACCCTGCGGGCGGGCCAACAGGCCTAGGCCAGGTACCTGTGTGCCGTGGGCTCCAGGGAGTTAAAGTGTTAAGCACTAGGCTGCCTTACTTGCTTGCCTCTGCCTCCGTGGTCTGTACACCTTGACCCCACAGCACAAGTTCACACCTAAGGGCCACACAGCTTTATCACACTGCTGAGGAAAGTTCTTCCAAATCTTTTCACACCCTGCTGTGTGTGGAAGGTGGCAGCAGGTCACACCCTCAAGGTGTCAAACCTCGCCTCTGACTCCAAGGTCACAGTTAGTCCCTCCCCTGGGGAGGTTCCAGGGCTACAGCGGACTCTGGTCAGGTCCGCTTTCAGAGCGAGGCCCTGCCAGTACCCGCGGTGCAGCTGCAAGAGGTGCCCAGTGCCCTACGCCTCAGACTCCTCGTCAGGAGCACAAGCAAACATGCCTTCGCCCTCCAAAGTTTGCAAGGACTGGATAAAAGAACAGATGTTAAGCTTTTATCACCAAGCCTGGCAGTCGGCACACAGGAAGAGCCAACTGCCACGACCGCCATCCCCGCCCCACCGACCGATGGATGAGGTGTAATCAGTGGCTCCGAAGATCAGCTCTGGGGCCCGGTAGTAGCGAGAACAGATGTAGGAGACGTTGGGCTCCCCCCGGACCAACTGCTTTGCACTGTGGGGAGAGGCGGGCAGGAGTAAACACAAGGCAAGAGGTGGGGTCCCTCCTCGCCCCTAGAGCCACCCAGCACACCCCAAGCTGGGCCCACCTGCCAAAATCGCAGAGCTTGAGGACAGCAGTATCAGGATCCACCAGCAGGTTCTGGGGCTTGATGTCACGGTGACACACCCCCTGGGAGTGGATGTAGGCCAGGCTCCGGAAGAGCTGGTACATGTACACCTGGGCCGGGGGACAGCAAGCTGCAGCCCAGCTCTCCTCACATACAGCGCACACCCCTGCCACGCTCAGACTTAAAAGCCCTCCCCGGGCCCTTGGTTCCACTCTGGGTACTGCACCAGAATCACCAGGAGGGCTAGTTAGAGCCAGGACTGCCCAGCAGCCCCAGTAAGTTCAGGCTGGTGCATTCCAACAAGCCCAGCAGTGCCCATGAGGCTGCCCCGACCTCTGACCGCCATCACACCCCTCCACAGGAGACGGGCTGTTGCAGAGCGAGCAGGGGAGCCGGGCTCTCAGCTGCCCCCTCACTAAACACTGGCTACTGGAAGGGCTCAGCCTCCTCCAGCCACCAGCGAAAACCACCCCCGAGCCAACCCCTCGCCAGCTGGGTGTTCCTGCCACTTTCCTTCCCGCTGACTGGAGTAGAAGTACCAAAGGAGCAAGAAGCTTTGTGTTTTCATCACTGCTGCATCCCTAGGACCTAGCCCAGGGCCTGGGATGTGGCCACTTGATTTCTCCACTGCACAGATCTGCTTCCGGGGTCCTTTCCTGTTCTGTTCACACAGCCCTGGGCCAGAGATATCTCCTCCCAGAAGCCTTCCTTGTGCCTTCTCACCCTCAAAACAGGCTGGCCTGGGGGGCCATACACTGTTTCCAGAATGTTGTGTTCCTTCGAGTAGGGCTGTTTCTAGAGTTCCAGTTCTCTCTGACACCTGTCTACCCTGCCAAACTGCGAGCGCTGCAGGAGCAAGGCCTGATTCTCAGTCAACGAGGCCGCTAGCATAGCCAGGCACGGGCCCAGCAGAGAGGCAGCTGCACGACAGGTCTGCCCGCCAGAGGCCTCCCCTCCCAGCACCAAACCCTGGCAGGGCCCCATGGCTCGCCTGGGAACCAGGTGCCAACAGGAGCAGCAGCGAGGCTCCTACAAACCACCAGCAAGCTGGAACCCACCACCCCCCATTTACAGCAGGTTACTCCCACCTTTTTTCTCCATATCATTATCAGACGGATGGATTCACTCACTCACTCATTCGCTCACTCATTCGTGCAAACACCTCTCAAGGGTAACTCCTGGGACACAGCACCCGGCAGTGGGAATGAGCCTGCACAAGCAGAGAAGAGGCATTCCTGGCTCCAGCCTTGACCTTCCTTCAGTCCCACTCCTCAACCTTCTGTCACCTTAAGATGGGGGGACGCAGAATCCAACCTCAGCAGGTCCCCGGTTGCCTCCCCGGTTCCCACTCCCAATGCTGAGCCAGCCCCACCAGAGTAGAGACTGCAGGTATCCTGCAGCCTCGCCAGACCCCTGGCCAGCCCGCCTTCCTCATTCAGTACAGCCTCAGGTTGGGGGACCCTGAATCTCCCCGGTATGAGGCAAACTGCATCACTGGAAGCACAAGGACTAATGTAACACTAGGCCTCCAGAGACCCACAAAAACTTGAGAAGTAATGAGACGCAAGGAAAGCAGGAGGGTGCAGGGGCCCTGGACCCAAAAAGCCTACCAGCCTGCCTGCCCACCTTGACATAGGTGATCGGGACGTTCAACTTGGACTTGGTGAAATGGCGGGCCACCCGGTACACCGTCTCAGGCACGAATTCCAGCACCAAATTTAGGTAAAGCTCATCTTTCTGCAGAAGCAAAGAAGAGGCGTGAGGAATTATGAGAAAAAAGCGAAGAGGGGAGGGAAAGTTTGTAGGGAGCAGTGGAGGGGGAAGGATTGGGAGTCCAAAGACCAGCAGGGAAATGGGTGAAGGTAGACTACCCCCCCATACATGCGAGATCTCACCTTCTCCCCACTGGAGTAGAAAAAGTATCTCAGCCTCACGATGTTACAGTGGTCCAGCTTACGCATAATCTGCAGTTCTCGGTTCTTGGGGGCAAAGAGAAAGAGCCTCAGAACACCACCAACACTCTCTGCCTCCCTGCTCTATAACCCCTCACTACAAGCCCACTCCCCAATTTCTGCCCAGAGCCAGGCAGCTACTCCCTGTGTCCCAGCTCCAGGGTCCCTCTGGGGTAGCCCCAATTCTTTACCCCTAATCCATTCCACTCATACACAGATGTGTTCTCTTCAGCCCACTTTTTAAAAATGTTCCATTTACTGTTGACATCTGAAAATCAAATGACCGCATATAAATCCAGTTCTCCAGCTTCTCTGAAAAGTCAGACGATGTGACATGAGTTCCACCCCCACACGGCACAAGTGACAAGAGCAAGCAGTGGCCATCAGTCTGCTTCTCCCTAGAGCTTTTGGGCCACAAAGCCTAATCCCAAGTCCTACAATAAAGACCCAATTTTCATCCACCCAAAGGGGATCCTGCCTCAGCTCTCTCCTGTTCTCTGTTCCCTTTCAGGTCTCAGAAAGCCTCGTCTCAGACACTCCCCTTTGGGACTCAACCCTAAGCAAATTCTGACCAACATCCAACTATTTCCCAAAAGCTCCCACTGCCAAGACCCAGACCCAGACCTGGTTCCCTCCCAGCCTGGACTCAGTTCTCCCCCATCTGGGCTAACCTCTGCTCCCAAACAGTCCTTTGCACACCAACCCGCCTGGGCGTCCACCCCATTCCTATCCACACGGCCTCCCTCCTCTAGCTCTGAGGGCATCTCTGCCAAATGAAGAGAGGCTTCCCCTTCCTCGGGAGGACACAGCCCCACACCAAAGCACGTGGTTTGATGAGCACAGGGCAGGCTGGATCACATCCAGCACTTGCCACGCACCTGGGGCAGAGGGCGACCTTCGAAACCAGACTCATCACGCCACAGCTTCCTTTCCTCTGGGTGCAGAAGTGGAACCAAGGGGAGTGCTTGGTAACCAGACTACTGGATTTCCAGTCTTGACCTTGGGCAATTCTCTTATCTGAGTCTCAGTTTCCAGTTTCTGCTTACTTAGAATGGGAATAACTCTACCCTTAGAGTACTTCATGTAAATTAAACAAGAACTTGCCTATAAAGCACTTATACAGAGCAGAAGCTCAATCAACTTCATCTCTGGGTTCTCCCTGGAATCCACATTCTCTCCTTCCACACAAGGCATTCCCTTCTTTCTCCCCTTCTCCTTTGGCTCATGCTCAGATACCCTGTGGAACCCCAAGTCTATCTCTCTTGCTGGAAATCTCGAGCCAGCCATGCCCAGTCCCCAAACTCCTTGTCCCCATTTCCTCCAACTACCTTGAACCTCTTGTCCTGGAGAACCTTCTTGATAGCCACCAGCTCCCTGGTGTCTGCCAGCCGTGCCTGGTAAACGACCCCAAAGGAGCCATTGCCAATCACTTTGATGTCTGTGTAAGCCACCTCCTGGGAACGCTCCGGGCCTTGGCCTAGGGTGGCTACCACTGTGGTCACCTTCCCGCTGTCACCTGAGGAATAAAGGGGACACAAGATCCACTGACCTCCACCCTCTGGCCACCATCTCGTCCTTAACGCTGTAGGGGGTGAACCTCTACAGGAACCTCAGGCTGGCCGTGGGGAGGAGCTGATGGGCCTCTTTGTCCCTTTCTGGCTTTGAGGAAAGGTGTTTCTGGATGCCTGTGTTCCCTCCTCTCCCCTCCAGGAAACTCTAATATTCTGCCCCCAAGAGGTTGAATCCATCCTCTCAGTTTACTGCCCTCTGACTGGGTAAAGCCTGACTGACCTAACCTCTTCCATTTTACCAAGTGGGAGCCCAGAGGAGCTTCTATTTGAAGAAAGCACTTAGCTTTTGTACAACAGAGGGAGGAGTGACCTCCAGGTCGCTGGCAGACGTGGTGAATTCACCATTTGTTCTTCTAGTGACAGAAATTAATGACTCTTATTGGTAATCAGGAGTGCCTGATTTCCACTAGTGCCTTAGTCCTCATTTTTGGGGAACAGACTCTTACCCAAATATTCTGGGGTTAGAATAGGCACTGACCGACTCCTTATCTGTGTGGTCCAGAGCCCCAGACCCCTTCCTGTATGTAGGTGGTCTCTAGTGGACAAACACTCCATGGTGAGAGTGGTCAGCCTGATTTCTCTCTGTTCCCAGTCAATTCCCATTTTCCAAATGTCAGCAAACGTTGGCACCATTACTAAGGGTTGGAGACCCCTCTTCTCCAGGATCCGAAGAAAGGTTTCCCGAAGAGGTCACTGATGAACCAAATCCATTCTCCAGGCCAGGGACACCTTTTGGAGTGAGATGATTCTACACAGCTACTTTTTCAAAGCAAATGACCCTTCACCTCAGATAACAGGCATAACCTCAGATCCCTATTCTATTCAGATCCTTTTGGAGCACTGTGGGAGACCCCTGGCCCCCATCCCATTTTTGTGAAATATGACCCACCATGCCGTTTTTTGAACTATGATCTGGTTTAAGAGTAATCCCATGCTGCTCTTACTTCTAAACTGCAGTGATCATTCATTTCCACCATCAAGGCAGTTTACTTATTACGGGTGGGTAATAACATCAGGTCCTGTGTTAAAAGGAATGACCTAGGTACCAAGTTTGGAAAGCCCTGACCCTGTTCTTTGGGGACAAAGTAACCCCACACAGTGCTTCTATGTAATATTCAGTCCACATCCCCATCCTCTAATGGGGAGCAAAGGAAGATCCCCTTTTATAGAGGTGATCTTACTCTTGTTCTCTTCGGGAACAATAACCCTTAAGCCTCATTTGTAAGCAAGAGACGACCCCTGATCCTGTTCTTTACTGGATGGCAACCAAAGATCCCTGTTTTTGAGGTTCGAAAAACCAAGGTCTCTAATGTAAAGATTAAGAAACTGTGACCCCTGTTTCTTTGAGGATTATTCTAACCTTAAACTCCAAGTGATGGCATACCCCCCACCCCCAACGCTTTCTCTGGGAGGGAGGGAGCTCAAATCCCAGTTTTGCGAGGCACAGTGACCTCCAGCTCCTGTTTGGGCATATGAAAGAACATGATCGATATTTGAGGGGCTTCAGGAACCCCGATCTCCATCCACCACAGGCGCCGCTAGTACTCACGGCCCAGCTTCACTCCCGGCGGCGGGAAGCTAGTGCCCGCTCCAGGGCCGCCGCTGCCTCCTCCGCCACTGCCGCTGGGGCCACCCCCAGAGCCCGAAGCCCCCACGCCTCCACCCATGGCTCCGACTGACGCCTTTCCGCCACTGCTGCCGCCCGGGCCAGAGGCCGAGCCCCCGGGGCCGCCGCC